GGAGACTTCAGCCATTTGGCTTGAGGATTCTCCATGCTTTCCTTCAGATCCGCCAGAGACTTACTCCTCTGTCCATTAGCCTTTTGTGAATCCTTTTCTTTTGCGCGATCGGTATACACTTTCTCATCTTCTGCACCGGCTGCTTCCTCTCGAAGAGGGGAAATGCCATCCCCTCTCTTTTTCACCACAGTAAGAAATGCCGTCCTTCCCATCTTCTGCCTCTGCTTAGTGAAAGCAGCCTCCATCTTCTTCTTCTGGGCTTCTATAGCACGCCTTTTTTCTTCCAGTTTCATCCTGAGATGCACCATTTCAGAGGCCAACAGCTGGGTAGTGTCCCGGCCTTGTGGAAGGCCTGTTTCTTCTGGAATTTGTCCCCAAGCAACCACGTGCGGAATATTAAGTTCAGAGCCTTCTGGTGTAGTTTTCTGAGAACTGCTCCCGCTACTTTTCCCATCAGTATGATTCAGTTTCCTGAACTTCTGTTCAGCAAAGCTGGTCATTTTAACTCCGGAACTAGAAGAAGCACTGCTACCTGGTTGAGACTTGGTACTTACAGTACTTGGACAAGGACTCAAAGCTTCTCTGGGGTTGCTGGTTCGAATATCATAATCCTGAAGAAATTTAGATGCGTCGTCCATGTCAGAGTCTAAGCTTACAGTATAATCTCTCAAAGAAGAATCTTCATCCATGGTTTCAGGGATATCTTCTGAAGGAACATGAATTCCAGTGTCTACTTCAGTATTATCAGTTATGGGACTCAAGGCACCTTTTGTATCAGTTACGTTATCAGGACTAGACTGATTTAGCTTGATGTTTGAATTTAGGATACTCATTTCCTGGTTATGAAGAAAGAAGCCATTAGCAATGTGGTCTGGCTGAGATGTATGGGGAGATTTTTCAGTATCATGAATTATTTGTAATGCTTCTTCAATGCTTGGTGTCTCGATCTGATTGCCAAACTCATCTAGAAGTACTCTATTTTGTAAAGCTCCATTTGGAAGCTTATAATGAATATTCTCATTGGAATTTAGTTCATTTGTATTAAGGGGCGTGTAAGATTTGAGGCCACTGTGAGAGTCTATATTAAGTTCTTCTTCAATGCTTTCTGCTTCCTCTTCTCCATTTACTGGCTTAAAGGACAAGTTTTTCCTAATATTTTTAGATACACGATTATTGTTCAGAGTAAGTCCTTCATTACTAATAGAACGAGTGATTCCTCGGTTTGGAGTGGATCTGTGTACAGTATTTTCTTTATCAAAAGAAATATCAAATGAAACTCCATGCACTGATGATCTACAAAACATTTAAAGAAAAAAAATCCTTAAACACACCCAGAAAAGAAATGATTTGATACCCTTTAACAATTATTTAAAATTATACTTCCTTTCTTTTCCCATTTCTCATAATCCTATTGTGCTCAAGGTAAGTGTGGGTTACTGGGCTACCTTTAACATTTAGCCCCTTTGAACTCTCAGTCATCTGCCTACATTGCCCTTTTCAAAGTGAGGTACTAATTGCAAGTTGGCTATCAACAAAACAGAGAGAAAGAATTAGCATTTCTTTCTTTTTTTTAATTACTGAAGTATAGTTGACCATGTTATATTAGTTGCAGGTGTACAATATAGCGATCCAATAAATAGCATTTATTGATAATGTGAATATACTAAAAATAATTCCCTTTGTTTACCTTTTCTCTTTGGGCCATGTCCCTATGAAACCATCAACATAGGACATAGATGAAGACCTTCTAATTCCTCCTTCAAATGCGAAAAAGAAAAAGTCATTGAAAGTATGTAAAAAATTTTAACTTACAGCTTAACAGATTTCAAATATTTCAGGATTCATTAAGAGCACTAAAAAGTAAGTAGGTGGGATATATGGAGAAATAGAGATCATTTTATTAAGAAAAGCAAGCACAGAGAAACAAATCAACCTTTTAGTGTATATATTAACACTTTTCCAAAAAAAAAAAAAGACTAGATATTTTTATTTACATTTATTCTCAATCATTTCCCAGTTAACCTAGGTTTTTTCAAAAATACTACCTGAAGCTGAAGAATGAGCTTGGGAGCGTGAATGTCTAGAAGGCAAATGATGAGAGTGTGTAAATGCAGCTCCTTCCCCACTGCAATGTAGAATAAATTAAAAATGTTTTAATATGTTCTAGTTCTTTAATATAAACTTTACACAGAATGGCTGAAATTAGAAACAACATTATCACCTCTGACTCTGCATCCTAAATTAAAAAAAAAAAAAGGAAACACATTGTTTAAACCAAACATGGCTGTTAGTATATGTATCTCTATGTATTTTATATCTTTTAGTCAAAGAGCCTGAAATATTTTCATATACACCTCAATGGCCTTGTGAGATAAGATACAGCATATTATTTTCATTTTACAAATAGAAAAACAAATGAGTAAGTTAAATGAAAGTCATCAGCTGGAAATATTTAAGTCTCTAGAAACTACAGGTATAATAAACCCTTGTAAAAGATCCTGACAGCCTCCCTGCTCACGGACCTGTGTCTGTACATCTCTAACAGTTACATCAAAATTAATATTAATATATTGAGCTGCACCTTGAAGACCTCAATGCCTATAAAGATAGGAAGCTGTCCTATTTCTTAATTCGACCCCATTCAAATTAATTCAGGGGATGAGGTAGTCTATTTCTCCAATTATCATGACATGTGGCCCAAATTTAATTTTTCTCCAAGTTTAAAGTCTGTTGTAGCCAACCTTATAGTCAAGTGCAGAAGTTACACGTCCCAACCCCTAATCAATTGAGAATAAATTGGGGAACAGGATGTTATGTAGTGACTTCTGTAGTCCCCCTTCAAATGACATTATCTTTTGGCTATTGTAAACTGAGAACATGAACAAGTCAACCAAAAAGTGCAAATGAAACAATATTGTGTTCTTACTATTTAATGAAAGCTTAATCAGTGAGCTTTTCTAAAGGCAACAATACCTGGAAAACTTGCATAACATTGTCTCCAAAGCAAATGCTTATCTGCTTCCGTGTGCCTTTTGTCCCGAAACTGCACATATTTTCTCTCAGAGGACTATCAGGAAATACTCACCTGCCCCCTATCATGTTTGTTTCTGTTATCCCTCCCTCTAACATCACTGCCCCTGTTTCTACTCTCCCTTACATCTATGATAGGAGGCTAATCCTGAAGATACACAAGTTAGTAATTAAAATATATTCACTCTCTTCTTCTCCAGATAATGGCTAAAGTGTTTTAAATTCCTATGAATTGCCTCACTTTCACATCTGCATAGAAAATTCTGATCTAGTGTAACTGCTGAGCAGGTTAGTGGTCAAGTGTGTGGATTAGCTGCTACAAATGTTTTTTGCTTTGCCTGTCTTCTTCCTTTGTTTTCCCCTCACAACTTCATTAGGGTCATTCACATTTGTACATGTGACTGCATTATTCTCAGGAAAAGTGGAAACTTTTGACTCCTTCCTGAAAAGTTCTACAATGGGAGAGCTCCAGTGGACCACGTGGGGACTTACAGAAATGAGAGGATTAGTAGGATCCTAGAATGACAGCTACACAGTGTCTCTTCAAGGAAAAGAATTTAGACATCCATCTGCTAGGAAAAATGAGTAAGGGCAGCCACTGAGATATCTGAGAAACAGAAAAGAGACGAGTCTTCCAGAGGGCCGTAAGACATTTTCCACTGTCAGAAATGTGAAGACGGTCCAACTAAGGTTCCTAAAAATAGTAATTTTGGGATAATCTAGCCTCAAAGCAGGAAGTTTCAGAGATTTTAAAGATTTAATAGTACAAGAGTCATAACCTAGAATACTGAATGTTTTCTAAATTTTCAAGGAAGGAAATGTCACTATATAATCAACCCAGGGAAACACCAAGAAAATTAATGTGTAGAAAAAAGTTTCCTGTAGGAAAAAATATGGAGAAGCTCCTAGATCAGCAATATCCTAACTTAACCTCTTTTTGTAAAATCTCAGGCATAGTTACAGAATAGAAAACTTAATGGACATAGTAAGACAATCCATAGTAGTAAATCAGAGGGTAGGGAAGGAAAATGCTTTCTTAATCTGTAGGAAGGACTTTAGAGACATCAGCCAGTCCAGAGGTAAGAAGCCCTACAGAGGCAGTAAGAGTACCGAAAGGGTTCTGTCAAGGTTCCAGTTTTACATCTCCTCATTAGCACCCACTTGAGAGAGAAAACTTCTTAAATGTGTGAAGTGGGTGACAGCTCAGTACAAGTTCATATTTTTATGTTAAGCCAAGAATTCATAAAGTACTTTCAATTGCTTGTTCATCATTTTTAAAATGTAGTTTTAATGGATCTGCTTGGATTTCTGAAACGCTGCAAAATGTAACAATTTTAAACTTAAAAAAACAGATAAATTAGGAGTCCAAAGTCAATATAAATTTTAGGTTCTAATAAATACACATAAAAGACTACTTATAGGATCTGCTGAAAAACATTTTTAAACAAACTCATGTGTCTATCATATGTTTGGGTCAGAAGTCAGGATTATCCTGATAGTAAATTTTTACTTTGCTCTCAATTCAGTTCCTGATATATAAAGAACATCAAACATAAAGATTCAGTATTACAATAAACATTCTATTGTGATCGTTGTTTAGCTACAGTAACCAGCAAACAAAACAGCAAGGGAAGCTACCCCAAAGATTAAAAAAATAAAAAAATTTAAAAACCCAAATAGAAATTTAAAATTCCCCCCACCCCAAGGCCTATCATTTAAGCAGTTCTCAATGATAAACAAGTTTTACAGCAAAAATTTGGTTTTAAGTTGGTTATTTGAACCTCAGAATGTATTCTCCCACTTTTGAGTGTGATTCATTAAAGCCTATTTATGAAACATTCTTTTCTGTGTAAATTCAATTACATTTAAGTTAAAACAAGCTGTAATACATGCTGTAAGCTAGTTAAAACTTAGTTCAAAGTCCAACTGAAATTTTAAAAACTAATGAAATTTTATTTTGATTTCATTAGCAAATGGACTAGAAACAGTGAAAATGAAGTCATTCTGGACTCTACCTTGAAGTGAAGTCAGAACTACACGAACTGTCCAAGATGTTTGTTTTGGCTGCATTCAAGACAGGAATTGAAGGCATATCGTTCACAGGTTCAGCTACAGTAAAAGAAAAAAGCCTCAAAATTATGTATTTAGCATGTTTCTACCATTATTTCAAGAACTTCCATTTTCCTATTGTAGCATATTGAGAATTTTCTTCTTAAATAATTTTCAAAGGTAAAATTTAAAACTCTTCAAGTTCTCGCTTAAAAAATTGATTAAGGCTAACTGGGGGGAAGGAAGTCGGGGGAGGCCTAACATAAAAAATACAGATATTTAAAAATAAATCTGAGTGTCTAATTTTGCTAAAGCTTTCATAGAACTTCAGTTACATATGGTAATTTTTGTTTCTTTATGAAATAGTTGATATTCTGGTAGTCAATTAAGAGAGACAGAATTTCACTGGTCAATAATTAAACCCCCTGTAGAGTTCATGTTTTTGTAAATAACTCTGGGGAAGACTCCATTTGCGTTTTGCCTTTGAGACCTAATGTAATAGCTGTTGAATATTTTGAATAGTGGGCTTCACAGATAAAAATCACAGAACACAGTGTAAGTGAAAATTCTGTATTAACTGTAAAAAGTTGTACAAATATTGTTTATGATAATTACTGAAGACACCTGTCCTTATTACATGGCCTTAGGGAAGGATCTTAACTTCTTTGTAGGTACTTTGATACATAATGGTTCAATAATCAGAATCTGCCCTAAGCAGCTTAGAGATGGAACAGATGAAATACTCTTTATTGCATAGTTCACAGAATTTTGCCTGAGATGCAGTGGGCACGCTGGAAGCAAGCTCATTCTACTCACTACGGTGACATGCCTTTCTCTTGACTACATATTTTTTCCTCCTTCCTGATCTTTTTCTTTTAATTTTTTTGATAGGGAGGAGACAGAGGAGAAATAAGGGTAATGGTGAGAAAAATACCAAAATTTGGAGCCAAGGAAAGCAGCTAAGTAGTTGGGAAGCACAATAATCATGTTTTGTGTTTGGCAGGACAGCCATCAGCAGCAGAAAGAACTGGTCCTGTAGTTATGCTAGAAGAAAAGTTCTTTAGTGGAGCTAAACTTATAATTTAAAATCCTTTTTCCCCAAGAGAAATAAACCTTTGGTTTCATAATGGAAGCAAAGGAAAATTTGTTTTAGAGAAAATGCAGGAAGATTTTTTGTTCTTTATTTCTAGGGATCTTTACAGTGACCCCTTTATTTTTTAGTTTTCTTATGTGCAATCAATAGATCATGATATATAATAATCATAAAACATACCGGACTTAAAAATATATATATAAACCTTTTTATGGTTTAATGGTCAATTCAAATTGTAGGTTAAAGCCAAGACATCATTTAAGTGGATTCTGGGTAGGAATATTAAAAACTCAGCATCTAACAGGGAATAAAAGCTAGAGATGGGGGTAAAAGATGCAAAGAGAAGAAAGTAGGCCAAGAGTTAAAGCTAAAAATTCCACAACATAAGGCTTCAAATTCAGAGCTGTTCTCTCCTACATCATCTCATAGAGAATTTAGTAGCTTTAAATATTAAAATATTCAGAATTTATCAAGGCTAATAGCTGTTTTATAACAATAGGATTCCCTCGAACAGAATAACCAGGGGAGGTTAGATAAACTCTCCATTTTGTTTGTTCCCAGGAACACCTACTACCTCCTTGTGGACGAACGACACGAGGCTGCACAAACGAGGGCTTCACAACTTCAAACCACCAGAAGAGCTCTGCCATGAACACCAAGTAATTACTCTACGTAAGAGAGTTAAGAAAAGGAGAAAAATCAGGTAAGATTTGACCAGAAAGTAATGATAAATACAATTTTATTGTTTTACCTATTAAAATATAGGTTTAAATCTCATTCCTTCATTGGAGTATATCTAATCTAGGCTATTAAATCTGGGATAGAATATTAATGCTTATAGGTAAAATTTATAACAGCTATTCAAAACCTCTTTGCTGCTTTTCTCTATATTTCCAGAACAGTAGTCCAATTTATGTGGCAGGCATGGGTACCTCTAACTGTAGAACTCTGAGATAACGTATAAGGCACTCTTCGTCCAAAGTCAATACAATACAAACAACTTAAACAGCCTCTGACGCTCTGAAGAGTGGCTATCATTTAAAAAAAAAACAAAACAAAACTCTTCCCAGATCCCTAGAAATTTCTCCAAAACTTAATCAGGTATCCATGTGCTTGATGATGCTAAACTCAACTGTAATCCAGGCACTAAATATAACAGAAAGACTCTACATCATTATGGCTAATTAATAATTTTGAAATGTACATACAGAAGCATTATACAATTTAATATATCAACCTAACTTTGAAAAGTTACTAGTAAGTTAACAATGTCCTTTGCCTTTTGATTTATATTTGAAAATGTGAGTAATTTTTAAAATATCTTAAAATTATAAGAAAAGACTGAGGGTCCTCAAAAGCACATTTCTAAAACAAGCTTATATTTTAGGATCATATATCATAAAAGCTATAAACATGAAGAATTACTTTAATTGTAGGCATCTGGTAAGTTTAAAAATTAACACTATACAAAATCTGCTTTATAATTATTTAAAATAATATACCTTTAAATTTGGCATCTAATAAATTATCAAATTAATATTTAATGAGGTTTTATTTCATATTAAATTCTAGTTTTGAAAATTATCATTGGAAATAAGGGTGTTTTCCAATACCATGCCTTCCTCCTGTTTTGTTGTTGTTGTTGTTGTTTTAAGATTTATTTATTTTAGAGAGTGAGCTATAGGTGAGTAAGGGCAGAGGGAAAGAATCTCAAGCAGACTCCCTGCTGAGCGAGGAGCTGCCCAGGGGCTCAATCTCACAACCCTGAGATGATGACTTCAGCCAAAATCAAGAGCTGGATACTAAAACAACTGAGCGACCCAGGTGCCCCACTCCTACCTGTTAATTATGAATAATCCTCAGAGCTCTATATACTCTCATTTAGAGTTCATCTACTCTGTTTTCTCATATTTAAGCTGGTAACTTTCAGATATTCATCTTTTACCTCATAGTTCGAGAAGGCTAATTTGTATGTAGAAAAGAGACAAATCAAGGGTAACTCAGGTTTTTGTCTTCAGCAACTGATGGTACCATTTAATGAAATGGGAAAGATTGGAATAAATAGGTAGTGGAAGGAATCCTGAGTTAATAGCTTTGAGATATTCATTAGACACTTAAGTGGACTGCCTCTGTTCAAATCTCCCAAATGAAAAACAAAACAAAACCACTCAGTAAGTTTCTCCTCACTCCCACCTTCTTACCTCTTCATAAACTTCTCTAAGGTAGGCCTATGCTAACAATCTCCTTTCAGCCTTCTGGCGCTCTCATCCACTCCAGTCTGGCATATAGGGCACATCATTCCTCCAAAACAGCACTTGCTCAAGTCACCTATGTAAGTCATTTGTTGCTAAATCAAACACATTTTTCAGTCTTCATCTTACTTGACCTCTCAGCAGCATGTGAAACTCCTGATGTCTCCCCTCAGTGAAAACTGCCATCCATGCTCATCAGCTACCAAATGACTCCCAAATGTATTAACTGTACTTACATATGCACTGGCCAAGAGAGGGTTTTCTCTTGGCTATCTCAAAGGCACCTCAAATGTCTGGAATTGAACTAGTGATCTTCCCCACAAATCTGACCTTATTCCAGTTTTACCTCACTGAATGGCATCACTATCCCAATGTGCAACCATCAAGAATGCCTCCTACTTTCTCCCTCCCCCTATCCAGTTCATCACCAAAACCTGCAAATTTTGCATCCTGAATATTTCTGGAATCCACCCACTTCTCTCCATCTTCATCATAATTACTGATTCAAACTGTTTCCATTTCTTGTTTAGAACACAATAGCTTTTTATTTGACTACTAGGCCAAACAAAAATTTCAAAATGTAGTACCCCTCCCCCCACTTCCACTGCTTTTGGGAAATGGACTATGGGCTACAAGAGGGTAGAGGGTACATAATTGGGTTCCTTTTTAATTTTAATTTCTCCAGTTTCCTTTAATACCACATTCTCCAGAGTTCCTCATTTTACCCATCAGACTATTATGTTAGAAGGACAAAGCTCATGGTCATCATTTTATCTTCAGATTTTTTTTTTAAGATTTTATTTATTTATTTGTCAGAGAGAGAGAGACAATGACCATACAAGCAGGGGGAGCAGGCAGAGGGAGAAGGAGGCTCCCCGCTGAGCAGGGAGCCCGATGCGGAACTCAATCCCAGGACCCTGGGATCATGACCTGAGCTGAAGGCAGACACTTAACTGACTGAGCCACCCAGGCATCCCATGTATCTTCAGCTTTGTTGTTGTTGTTTTTTAAGATTTTATTTATTTATTTGACAGCGAGAGAGGGAACACAAGCAGGGGGAGTGGGAGAGGGAGAAGCAGACTCCCCGCCGAGCAGGGAGCCGGAGATGCAGGGCTCGATCCCAGGACTCCGGGATCATGACCTGAGCCGAAGGCAGACGCTTAATGACTGGGCCACCCAGGCACCCCTATCTTCAGTTTTTAAAACAGTGCCTGGTACGTAATAGATGACCAATACATACTTAATTGAATGAATGTATAAATGAATGAATAAATGTGTAACAAAAAAGATCAGTTGGCAAAATACCACACTGTTGACAAGGAGGGAATAATCTCTGGTAATAAGATCATCATGATTTATAATTTTTCTTTATACTTACCTCCAGAGGATATTTTCTAAAGCCAAAGTATAAAATTATATTTAAAGTATTGGTCCTAGGTTCCACTCTACTAGTATAGTTAACTGAAAGCTGTCTATATCTTTTGGAAAAATACTAACACTCAACTAAATATTTTAAGGACATATCACTGAACATGAGAGAAATGCAAATCAAAACCACAATGCGATATTACTTCACAACTGTTAGAATGGTTATCATCAAAAAGATAAGGGTAACAAGTGTTGGCAAGGATGTGGAGAAAAGAGGACCCTTGTACATTGTTGGTGGGAATATAAACTGGTACAGCCACTATGGAAAACAGTATGGCAATTCCTCAAAAAAATTAAAAATAGAACTACCATATGGATCCAGCAATTCCACTTTTTGAAAACAGGATTGAAGAGAAATGTGCATTCCTGTGTTCACTGCAGCATTATTCACAATAGCC